AACATGAGGAGCCTCGGGTCCCTCTATCTCTAATGAACAGGACCGGAGTAGGAGTTTTTTTTCGGGTAAGGGGTATTGAAGTTAACAGTTCTTCTATCTTCTTTTTCAATTTTTCAATAAGTTAATCCTGTTGGTTCAACTCATCCGATAGATGTTGACTTGTATTGGGCTGTGGAACCTCTTCAACTTCCACATATTGGGCTTGTATTGATGTTTGATTCTGATTTTGTGAAATAACATTCATGATTTCCTCCATCCTTTTCTCAAATCTTTCAATAACTTCATCTCTTTGTCTCAGCTGATTTAAAAGTTGTTGGGCTGCATTCGATATGACACCTTCTTCAACTATAATGTCTTGTAAATCAACAGTCTTCTCCTATCGTTCTCTTAGAGAGGATCTAGTTTTGATCATCATGACAGTGATTGTTTATTCTGAGGTTTCAGGAATTTTATCCTCTTCTTTTAATTGCTTCAGATAAGCTTCTAAATAATTTAAAACCTCACCCATGGGTCTACCCCTAATGTTCTTAGGATCGATAGAGATATATGTGGTTTCCGGATCGATATTCATCACATCAACTTTTTTCTCAGTGATCTCAGGTTTGGACTCCTCAATTTCCTAAAGTCATAGAACATTCCTTGAAACATGCGAGGTAGGTGAAGAAGGGGTTTCCAACCTATCACCCTCTGTAGGAGGTGTTACTTTCGCTTTAGTAGATAATCTTATCACCAATGGGGATGATTTCTTCTCATTCTCAGTATAGGGAATTTCTTGGGAGGAACTTGGAATGAATGGAGGAGCTTCAGGTGACAGACATCGCATTTTTCAAGTTCTATGAAAACATTGAGGAATATAAGACAATGCTTCTGAAGATAAACGGTGAGTAGTGAACTGTCTCCTGGACACTTTAGAACTTCAACCATATTACATTTTCTCTTCTTTGTCATCTTCTTGAGTATTTAATATAATCCAAACCTTTATTCCCCTTTTAAAGGGGTTTTGATTTAACAGGAGATGGAGATGAATCAGGTATTTCAAACACCTCTTCTTTATCTCGGGCAGTGAAAAGGGTGTAAAAACATCTTCCATCCAGAATGGGGGAGATTTCAAACAAGTCAGATTCAAACTCACGTCTATCATTCTCAATTAACTTCTTTGCTCCATTAGTCTGGAGATATCTCTTATGGATTCTTCTGTTCATATTCCTATGTTGAGTTTTATTCAGTAGAGGAACATTCTTAGAAAATGAGCCAACTATAAACACTGAGGAAATATTATAAGCTTCACCTAGTACTTCTACTGATTTATCATTCATTTTTTAGTCAGGCTTAGAAATTTTAAGGACTATAGGAATTTCCATCCTCATGGTAGAACTCTGAATTTTAGGTATAACAGCGGCAACAACACTCACAACAGAAGTATTTCAACAACTTTCTTCAAGGGTGGAAAATCTTCTTCTGATCTGAGACTAAACTCCATCAAGAGTATTTTCTCATCAACCAATTGAGGGTCTTCCGTGGAAAATGCAAGATCACCACAAGTCATTTTGAAGTAATCAAATCTCATTCCAAACTTGATGATGGACTTAACCTAAAATGAGTAGGACTGAGTGATAAGTTTTTGTCGTTTCCAAAGGAGATTAGTTTCGGGATCGACATCTTCCTGTAAAAGGATATAAGGAGAGATTTAATGAGAAGTCAACTTATGAATCTCTGAATTTGAAAAATTCAAGAACGAATCAAAAGAATGGAACATTGACCCATTCAATCACTTGATTGAGAGAAAATCCAACAGGAAAATAATAGATAATCAAAGTATCAAAAGAAGAGGATAAATATATCATTAATAAAAAAAAGATTAAAGCATAGCTAAAGATGGAAAGAGAAACCATTCTCAGCGAAGTCGTAGAAAAATATTGTGGAGATTTTTTCTTTTGCGACGGGGACACCATTAATTTCAAAATATTTATATCTAAATGATCAGATACGGTATTCAAAGGATAACATACTATCTCGAAAGAAACATATATTATTTTAGAATGGATCTAGTCATTCGGATGAAGAAAATTTTCATGATTTATGTATCTACGGAACAAGAATCTTTCTCTTACCTTATGAGTGTAAGGTAAGGTTTATTTTATTCTGGGGTCTGATATTCCTATAAGTGGGTTTCCAGATAGTTAATTACATCTCAAGAATTATTTTTTAGAAAACTCTCGCTTAAAATTATGTATTATATCTCTCTTATTCATTAATGAATGTTTATAGGTTCATAAGGTTTGAAGACTTTGATAAGAAGGATAAGTTTGGACAAAAGTTGACATCACTTGATATTCAATAATTTTTACCCTTTAGGGTTGAGCCCAACAGATCACAATTAAAATGGTAGAGTTTGAATTAAGTTTGAGAAACAATTTGGGTTTAAGTTGGATCTTGATTGGGTTTGAATTTGATATTGGGTTTGAATTAGATTATGGTTGAGTTTGATAAGATTTGAATTGGTTTGGATTTAAAATTTGAATTGGGTTGAGATAGGTTGAAGTTGGTTAAGTTCAGATTGAGTTTCGATTTAAAAGGTTTGGGTTTGATCTTATTAGGATTGAATTGATAAAGTTGATTAAGGACTTGAGAATAAATATATAGGCTTGTTAGGCTCTGTGTCACTTACTTAGCCCAGACAAAACTTATATATTCACTAGAATAAGTGACTACTTGAATGAATATATTTCTTCTCAGAAACGTATGATTTCGCAGCCTTAAATTTTTTGAGTATACAAGTCTTGAGTCATCTAAATTTAAACAATTGATATAGTAGATGAGTTTGTATCTCAAATATTTTTGAATAATAAATTACTTTCAGAAAATTCAAATTTTCATCTGAAAAATATATTTTTATTATATGAATGAGAATACAAACAAGTCTTAAATGTGAAGACTTTAAATTCAATCCTAACAGGATCAAATTCAATCCTTTTAAATCCAAACTCAACCTAAACTTAACCAACCTCAACCTACCTCTACCCAATTCAAATTTCAAATCTAAACCAATTTCAATCTTATCAAACTCAGCCCTAATTTGATTCAAACCCAAGATCAGATTCAAATACAATCAAGATCCAAATTAAACCCAAATTATTTCTCAAACCTAATTCAAACTCTACCATTTTGATTGTAAACTGTTAGGCTCAACCCTAAAGGATATAAATTTATGAAACCAAAGTGCAGTCAACCTTTGTCCAAACTTATCGCTCTTATCAATGTCTTCAAACCTTATCAATCTATAAACATGCACTAATGATTAAGAGATATATAAGGCATAACTTTAATTGAGAGTTTTTCCAAGAGTAATTCTTGAGATGTAATTAACTATAAGAGAGCCCCGTCATAGAAGTACTAAACCCCAGAATAAAATAAACCTTAAGTTACACTCATAAGATAAGAGAAAGATCTTGATTCCGTAGATATATAAATCACGAAGATTTTCCTCATCTGAATGATTAGATCCATTCTAAGGTAATATGTCTATCTTTTAAGATAGTATGTTATTCTTCGAATATTGTATCCAATCATTTAGATAGAAATCTTTTAATATCTATGGTCCCCCCACCCAAAAAAAAAAAAATCCTACCAATGCCCCTTATTTTCATTTCAACTACCCTAAACTATATCATATGCATGGTTGTGCCACAAATGAGTACTATGTAAGAGAAAAAGAATATTTGAGTAATTAAGATAGCACCAAGCAGTTAAGATTCCTATTTTTTTAGTTTCTTTCACTGAGTCAATTATTGGAAATTGCAAGTTCGAACTATGGGACTCTCTTGATCACATAAATGTAACAAGTTCAAATATCAGACAAATGCAATATGACAAAGGTATATTTAAAAGATATCAGACAAATGCAATATGACAAAGGTAAAGACTGATAGTATGCTGCTTGCTGGTCACTTCAAATTATCTAAAGAGTGTATTTTAGAAATTAGAAAAAAAGAGCACATGACTAAAGTTTCTATGCCTCAACGGTTAGATCTCTTATGTTACAATGATCTACACGAAACAATATATTTCACAAGTAATGAGAATGGTTGGCAAATATGAGTCCAATATTGGTTATAAAGATGATATTACACTAAAATATATGATCAATCATTCTTCAAAGTTTAAAAGTGCCTACTTTAACTAGAAAATGAACTTGATTTGAATCTAGAAGGAGACCTAGATACAAGGAAAAGTATAATAACGTACATCTAAGCCTTCGGTAGCACCACTATCAATTATGTGTTACACTTTCAAAATATAATCACACCATCAACTAAAGAAGCAGAATATGTAGTTATCGCTAAAGCCAACAAGCAGATGGGTTGATTCAAAAGTTCCTAAAAAAAATCAACATGAAGACACCACATTTTTGCGATAGCCAAAGCCATCATTCATTTAATAAAGAATGTTTCTTTCTACTCTCAAACAGGATACATATAACTTAGAGTACCACTAGATACAAAGTTTACTCAGATGACATTTTCTATATAACGCATGAATATAAGGGGGCAATAAATTAAGCTGACGTACCTCTGAAGCATTAAAGCACGGACAAGCACACCAAAGAAAAAACAATGAAGAAACAATGAAAAAACAAATGAAAGGGAAATGATACCAAAATAATTTAATTTTTTAACAAATACATAGATAACCAAATTTACTGCATAATGAACCACAACATTTAACTTTCCTAAAGAAAATTCTTATGACAACATATGATATATAGATGTATTCTATTATAATTTTTCCATAATCCAGCTGCCATTTCAGAAAACAATTTCAGCACAAAAATAACCAAAAAAAAAACCTTGATGACATGGATGTAGCATAAATATGCAGAAATTCAAAATTGAAATAATAAAAGCATAAGGACTTTACTCTGACTGAAGGAAGTTTGTGATCAGCCCCAACCGAAATTATATGCAACAGAAGAAAAACTACTAAATTACAGAAGCACTTACGTCCCTTGACAATTTTACTGCTTGAAAATAATGTGGATGATCATCTTTTACTCTTGAAGAACCTAAATAAACAGCTCCCCTTCCAAGCTTTTGAATAAGTTCATAACAGCTCTGTATCTCTTTCTTAACCTATAAAAAATGTAGACCGAAAAAAAAAAAAAAAACAATTAGTGGCTTATACTGAATTCATTTTCCACTTTGTTCCAAAGACTGAAAAAGCCTGCAGCTAGCAACATGACTGGAAAAACAAAAACTAGAAAATGAATAGCAAGATATTGCTTCAAAGAGGAAGAAAATAGAACCACATCCTTTAAAAGAAGAAATCGTTTCACAACAAAGAAATGTTGAAGATGTTTGCAGATGGATCATATTCGACATCATCATCAACCATATGTCCACTATTTGAGGTTTCTTTTATAAAGCCTTCATCTCTATCCTTCTTAGTAAGTGTTAACTGATATTAACTCCAGTTTGGTTGGCAACATTCATATCAAGTATTTAATTGTTTTGTCCATAGAACACATATATTTATTTTGATGACGCTCTTCAGAATCAAGTTTTCAGACGGCAAAGAGGAAATAATATTGGAAACACATAAAATTATCAAAATCCACCATCTTATCCAATCTACTTGCCTTTAGTGTACCTTGTCCATTTACAAGCATTAGTCTACACCTTCCTGTTCCCTTCAAATTGCTTATAATCTTAGTAGTGCATGTTATACTATGTACATGTCACAGAACTCAACCAGGTTCAGAATTGGCTCAACCTACTCAATCGTGGTTTCCTCAATAATACTTGTCGCGTCTCTTCAGTGATCACCCCCAACCAGCCCCTCCCCCCAAAAGCATCAGCTGCGACAGAGATGGGTGATTCCTTCAAACTAAGGGCCCGTTTGGGGTAGCGGCGGAGGGGGTGGAGCAGCAAGCAGATGCGGTTTTTTGCGTCGTTTGGAGTGGCGGCGGCAAAGCGTCGCAGCAAAAGTTTTCACGTTTTAACGAAAATGTGGGCCATAGGATAGACCCCGCGGCCCCGCATTCGCGCCGTTAGTATTACAGATTACCCCCGAGCAGGAGGAATTATTGTGTGCGGACACCGCATGCATCTCTGCATGCGGTGTCCGATCCTGACCGTAGATCACGGTG